AAATACCCCTTAATAAATATCAGCTTGCTTAATGTGCCTGCTTATTAAAATGTGTTAGTTTTAAGGAGTTAGTACTCGATTTTAATATAGAAATAAAATATAATTAAATTTAATTGTTACCATTTTCAAATTTTTGAAACATTACAAAATAGTTCTTCAGCTTTAGTCCAAAAATCTTTATGTATGCGTTAGCAATTTTATTTTACTTTATAAAACCATTAATTTTTATTAAATCCTAAAAAATTGTTTCAGTCACAGATATTTTATAGAATTTTTTTATGTCAAGTAGTTAGTACTATTAAAAACGATCGATAAATAGCATAACCTTATATGCTTTCAAATCTTTATTTACTATTTGTGACACGATGTTTCCCAAAGATATTCGTTCGAAGATTGGCAATACTTAGAATATACGTTTGCCTCATTCAGTAGTGACGTTTTTATTTTATTTATTTATTTTTTTAAAATTTTCTACAACGGTAATTGCTATAAAATCATATAAAAACTATATGAAATGATACTTTAGTAATCCTTATAAGCCTATTCAAAAACAATAAAATAATGAATAAAAATATGGTAATTACTAGAACAGTAAACGGATAGATTTTACTTATTTTTCTTAACACAAGTTTCTAATTAGTAGTACCGTAAGATGGGGTAAGTTTGGGAATGCTGATAATATTTAGTTTCTTGTGATTCCGTGGTGGATACACTGTGTTGGTTCAGTCTGCAAAAACATACTTTGCTACTACCTTTTCGACTGTTTGAGAACCAACTCACTACACTTGTGCAGTTAGGTTTTATTTATTTCCATTGCTTTTTTCAAAATTCTCGTTTTCATGAAACTTTCGCTTGTGCCTCAAGAGTAGTGTGCCACAAAGTATTAGCGCAGTCCATGGCTACACACAGCACGTTTTTTCAGACTGAATCACCACAAACTAAATTTTACTCGCTGTCACAAAGTTAACCACCCAGTCTAAAAGTTACATCTTACGGCATATGCTTTATAACTAAAAAAAAAAACCTATTATGCTCAGATGATATATAAAAAAAAATATGACCAATACATATATTTTTCTATTTTAAACTGGCTTTCGACCTGAAGCCACCCTGCAATGGATATGCCAGTGGCGTCATTGAATAAATACTCTTATATATATATTCTATAAAATTATTTTTTTAAATTTGTATTATTTTTTTATGAAATATTTTAACTTTAATTATAAAAAAAAAAATGAAAAAGAACAGTAAATTCATTATAAAAAGCCAGATGATAGAGAGAGAGAAACACTTTATTTTCATAAAATATAAAATATAAAGGATTGCTGCCCAATTACATTGGGTTGCTATACACACAGCATACTCTTCTATCCTTAAGACAATATATGAACTTATATATAAATATACAGGAGTATTAGTTAATATTAGTAAAACAGAAATATTATATATATACATTTTTATTATAAAAATATATTTTTATAAAAAAAAATATGACCAATACATATATTTTTTTATTTTGAACGAACTTTCGACCTGAAGCCACCTTCCAATGGATATGCCAGTGGCGTCATTGAATAAATACTCTCTCTCTCTCTCTCTCTCTCTCTATATATATAAATATATATATATATATTTATATATATATTATATATTCTATAAAATTATTTTTTTAAATTTGTATTATTTTTTTTAATGAAATATTTTAACTTTAATTATAAAAATGAAAAAGAACAGTAAATTCATTATAAAAAGCCAAATAATCATTTCTTTTAAATTGTCTCATATGCATAATGTCTTGAATTTTAAATACCATTTTAGAAGTTAAATATATTGTTTTAATATTTTTTTTTTCTGGAACACTTTTTAAACTATGATTCTATGTAAATTATCAAGATTGAATATTTTAATCCTTTCATAAATGCCGATAACGAATCACTTCAAGGGCGTTAAGAGAACGAGCGTGAGAATGCTCCGGGCACATTCAAACGTAATTGACCGCTAAACCTTGGCATTCTGTTAAAAATTATGATTGAGCTGTTAAAATACATTAGCTCAGGTGGGATTAGTATGAAGTTTTAAGAATTTCATAAACTAGCGAATAAGATAAGAGAACTTCATTTACTGAACGACTTTAACGGTGGATAAAATGATAATCAGGAGTAAGACGAGGATTTAAAAAAAAATCCATATCTGGTTTGCATGCTGTTTTTTAACTGACCATCAAATATCTTTGAAAATCAGTTTGCCCAAATGCAATTAGCCAAATTTTATATTGCTTATTTGATGATAAATGCATACAATTGCATATTTGATTATTTAACAATAATAATTATAATGATAATAATAAGAAATAAGAAAGTAACCCAAAATAATAAAAATAAAATTTCATATTAAATTTGAATTTTATAAAAATAAAAAAAATAAATAATAATAAAAAAAATCAACTAAATAAATATATAGATATGGATTCTGTTTTATTTCTGTTTTTTATCTCCTCCTTTTAAACTTATAGACATCATACCCAGTTTAAATGCCTTACTCTCTTCTATTTAAAGATTGTTAATGATTTAAAGCGCATAATTTTTATCTAAATTTATATATTGGATCCAACGAAGAATGGAAAACTGATGCTGTTTTTAAAACTAATTGAAAGGTTCATTTTTGCTTATATTTTACAAAACAAAGCTTCTGCTGAAAATAATTCGATAATCACTCTGTTGATATAAAAAAAATATTTCAAACGATAAATGATTATATAGATTTCACAAACACATATAGAAATAAATTTATTAAATTTAATACAGAGCATGTCGATTGATATTTTCAAACATCATGTTGAATTCAAACTATTGCTATTTTTTTTATTTTATTATTTGCGATTTTTAATGTTGCTTCGACTGCCGTGGCCATTAACGATAATCTTTTAAGATATAGTTCATTAATTTTATTAGTTTAATATAGTGGTGTTTTTTTCAATTCCTTCAGTTTCTTTATATGGAACGATGTATTCAATTTTTAGTTTAAATCGTTCTTAACGATATTTATTAGATTGAAATAGGTGTTCAACGATGAGATTTACATTTTCACATGCATGGAATGTTGGTTGAAGAAGGCCTAAAAGCAGATGAGATAGCTAATTTTCTTTTATACAATTAAACGCCTACACGTATCTTCCATAACATATGATCATGCTCTTCTAATGATGTATTTACAATATTTTTATATATATATATAGGTATGAATGTATTTTTATATTTCTAATTAACTTATCTTTAGATTATTTTATTTTTTATTGTACTAGGTTTTTTTTTTGTTATTATTTTACTTTTGTTAATTTTATATTTTCTGTATATATGGTGTGAATGTGTTCATATATCATTATAATTATTGTCCACGAGACAGATTATTATATGTCTAAATAAATAAATAAATCTTTTATTAATAATTCTAGATCTATATTATTTTAATTTTTTATTATTATTTTTTGTAGTCACATTAGTTTAAAAAAATATTTAGCGATTTAGAGATTTTTTCGCTGCATATTTCATGATTTATGACTGCATATTAAACGGTTTTTAATAAATATATATATATATATATATATATATATATATATATAATATGGCATAGTTTCATGGGTTAATATTTATTTATTTCCAACTAAAAGAACAAAAAACGATTCTGATCTGCTACACCAATCATTGTGAGGGCAAGAGTATATATATAAACCTACAGATACCGAAGTGAAGGCGATCAAGTATTACGTCTGACAAGTGGCTTAGTACCGCCACCTGGCACCAGACTTGGAAACTGATTCCAGAGGATCTGTCCCTATAAGCCTACAACTTTCTTATACATTCATTTAATGGAACATATTATTAAAGTATTAAAAAGAAAAAAAATATATGCGAACCAATGAGTTCGAAACCTTTTTACGGAGAAAATATAAGACAATAAATATAATAAAACATGATCATCGATCAAGCAAATAGAATATGTTAATCAAACAGGTTTCGTATAAATGCAAATTAAAAAAACTTGCAGAAAAATCGTTTGTTCTTTCAAGACGCCATCGTCGTAAATTGCTCCTGAGGTTATTTGCAATTTCAAGACCCCATGCAAATGGCTACAAATTTAAATGAAGTTCGTACAGAGTAAAAGAAGTTTAAGATAAAAACGTCGCAGAAACGAACTTTTTTTTTAAACATGATTTATCTCCTTTTTATTAGATGCTTTTGAATAAATTAAAATTCTAAATAATAAAAAATATATAATACCCGATAAAGCATCAATGATTTACGGAGCTTCCATCGTTAAGCCTACTACGGTTGGTAAACATCACGTTTCCTTCTTCGAAGATTAGAATACAAACAAAATATGGCCATAAACGTCAACAAACGTTGATTTATTACAATCATGACTAGAAATGTTGATTTATGTAAAATTTTCAGGCCATTTGTTTTGACAGATGTCAATGAGGAAACAAGTCTATAACTTTTATATTATAACTTTTCTTTTACGAAGGATGCAAATATTTAAAAACCACAAAATGAAGAGATACAATCGTCTTCTATATTATTTAACTCACGATTTAATCTGAATAAATTTAAAAAATGTATTTTATTCGTTTTAGAGACATTTTCGGTTACATTTAATTTCTTATTTATTTCGAAAATATAAATGATTGTTTCCAATTAAAAAATACAAAAAAAAAATTATTTATTAAAATTAAAACTCCGGATGTATAAAATTTAATAAAAATATATTTAAAAGGCTGACTTGATTAGATTCTTTATCTTTATTCAATTGACAAATACACAGTTTTTTAACTGAAGAATTTAATATTAGCTACCTATTCCATGTGAATGTTAATCAATTAATCGTATCATTTCTCTATAATGCTCCTATTGAACTTTTAGCAAAGATACATATTAGCAATCGTTCTAAAGAGTTTGCGAATACCACCAGTCATATGCAAATGAAGGTGAGGCAAAGAACTGTTATACCATCGGCTGTGCCCTCAAGTATGCGAGGTGCATTCCAGAGCGTCCTCCAGCTAGACGTCGACTTCTGGAGGCTATCCATCGCAACTTCTGATTGCACCTATACCTGAGTAGTAACAAATCACTGTGTATTAACAACTAAAGGAGGATGCGGTACCCACCTTTTGCCCAAGCGGTGAGTACGTTTCCTAGGTAGAGCACTTTGAAGCTGGGGTCGTACTCCGTGATGGTGACAGATCGGCGGCGGCATAGCCTGCCCAAACCTTCCTTCACCCTCCGAAGGGCTCGTTCCCTGAAGTCCTTGGCCTCCATCACATCCTATCCTCGCGAAGGCCGTGCACAGACTGGTCGCTCCTAGCCTCCCCACCACCTCAGCTCCCCTCTCCTCCACTGTTTACATTCACCTGTCCCATCACCTCCTCTTCCATCCTTTATCTTCTTTCTCTTACCGCATTGTCCTTCGTAAAAATAATGGTCCGCACAGGAGCCGCCTATAAACAAACCTCTGTCCTTGACATTGCTCCCTGGCTACAAGATAATTGGTATCCCTTTGCTCCCGGTACGCCGATCCCCCTTGGAAATGTCTCCAGCACTTAACTATTCTCGGCGTTTGCGATCTATTTCTTTTTTCATAATTTACAAGGCAGGAATTACCACCGAGCGAGCCTTGCCACATCTCTATTATCGAACAATACATGATCAAACTTATTTATAAAACTTTATAAATCAATTCATCCTCTCGGTTTAGAGGTTTTTTTATTGCAATACTTTCCTGAACAATCACAACACATACAGTTCGTTCTTTTGGAGAACAAACTAATTTTCACTCTAACATTTTTTATTAACATCGAGAAAAGTTCTGTTCCATCTCTAAGAAAGACAGCTCTTATTTTGCTCTACATACCTTTCTCCTTTCTTAAAGTTATATTTAACACCCAAGAAGTTCCTCGAACTAGCTTTTTTAAATGTAGATAATGGAGAACCGCTCGTTTATCGATTATTTTTACCAAGTAAATTATCAGTGATAAGGAAATTAATGTTTTTGTATCTGTTGTGGGAGCAGATTTTAATATTTGTAAAGAAAAACTTCCACGCAGTGCTAATGTTTAATTGTAAAATATGTATTTATTTCCAAAATCAAGGTTGAAATCCCGGTATATTTGTTATACATTTTATAAGAATTGTCCTGTAATGTTTTAAAATGAAGATAGACCGTGATTGAATAGTAGGAGTTGGCGAAATGACACACTAATAAAAAATCGTATTTTATTATTTACCGGTGTTTTGGCCTAAGTATTAGGCCTTCAATAGGTATAAGCAAAAATAATAAATTAAAAACTAGTAAGAAAAGCAGTATAAAAAGAAAATAAGGCAAAACTTAAAAATTAAAAAAAAAAGTATGAAAATGTTAAATTAAATCCAATGTGTATAAATAAATAATAAAATACTATCAAAATATCATGATAAAAAAGCATTTATTAATATTTAAGTATAGTATGTTATAGTAATAATAATAAAGGCTTAATTTCACCAATCCCGGTCTACTCACCAGGGTTCGAAACGAAATTTTAACTGTTATTTTTAATAAGTTTCAGTATGACTGGATTCTTTATTTCTTTTTTTCAATTATTTGGAATTAGAACTTTTTATTTTATGGTTTCACACAACTTTTATTTAAAAAAATACTTTTATTTAAAAGTTCTGTTTATTTCGCTAGGTAGGAATTACCACCAAGCGAGCCTTGCCACATCTCTATTATCGAACAATACACGATCAAACTTATTTATAAAACTTTATAAATAAATTTATCCTCTCGCTTTAAAAGTTTTTATTATTGCAGTACTTTTCTGAACAATCAAAACACACACAGTTCGTTCTTTTGGAGATCAAACTAATTTTCACTCTAACATTTTTCTATTAAAATCGAGAAAAGGTCTGTTCCATTTCTAAGAAAAACAGCTGAGATTACTACATATTTCCCGATTTGCATAGTGTTCTAATCGCAGTTTATAGTCCGTGGTACAGACTCCTTTCTTTCAAACAATTCTCAACATCAGCATAAAACTTCGTGAATGAACTTCATCTACCTAACCTACAATTTTTTTATCTGTGAATATTCTTAGAAATGTTGAATTTTCTCATTAAATTGCTTAATTTAATGAGACACTATAAACTCATAAATAATCATTTGCTTTATATTTAAATCATCGGATAATTTGATCACAAAAGTGAAAAAAAAATGTGACCTACAAAAATAATGGGCTGTTTGGCCTATATAACCTCGTTATTTTGACATGTTCGAGATGCAGATCACGCCAAGCAGTCCTTTTTTCTTATGAATCAAGTGAAAAGCGTATGTGTGTTCATATGTTCTTAGTACTTCATTTTTTCGTAAATAAAAATGTAGGTTACTACGATATGAGGCTATTCACGAAGTGTTGGGTGGATGTTAATAATCTGATAAAAAATGGGCCTGTATAGGGGACTATTAATTTATTACAAGTTAAGTGAAATGGTATGTCTTCGTTAACTAAATAGCATGTTTTAAAAATGTAACTAACTAATCGCACTTTAAGCAGCTATTTAAATAATTTATTATAAATGTTGCTTAGTGTTTTGAGAAACTTTAAACTCATTTATCTAAATATAAAAAGTAGAAATCTGCCTTTCAATATGAAATTCATCTATTAAGATAGTTCACGGAGACAAACCGATTTATTTTTCGAACAAACTACTCCATGCATTTTTTTTTTTTTTTTTTTTTTACAACAGTTATTGGAATGTTCTGAGGAAACAAAAAGAAGTTAGCTAAAAATACATAAACTTTATTAATACCTATATTAAAGGGATCCATTGTTGAACTTAGAACTCAAGATCTGTCACAAGTATTATATTTCTAAAGTGAGAAAGCGGTAGCAAATTCTGAACTCTCCAAAGCCACAAGAGTGGAACGGCTTATAGTGTTAGCTGTTTGCAGACTCAGTCATGTCCCATAATACTTTGGTGAATTAACCTAAAATCCTAAGGAGTCTGTCACATATTTTATAAATTAACTATTTTAACAATAGAATATCTATCCGCTCCGATTCGGTATAATTTATATTCAAAGTAATGCATTCATAATGATGTAGAGATGGTTGAGCGTTGATATAATATGAGAAGGAGTTAGTCGAGGGTGCGGTCAAATAAATAAAAATTAAAATATATTAATTATTTTAATTTTTGCCGACGTTTCGACCCACTTTGCAGGTCATCTTCAGGGCGTAGGATGTGGCACTGCGGGAGGCAGTTTTTATTGGCCAGCGTTTCAACTGCCTCCCGCAGTGCCACATCCTACGCCCTGAAGACGACCTGCAAAGTGGGTCGAAACGTCGGCAAAAATTAAAATAATTAATATATTTTAATTTTTTATTTATTTTACCGCACCCTCGACTAACTCCTTCTCATATATTCAAAGTAGTATAAAAAAAAAAAAATTGACAATCTTAGTTCTCCGCTTTTATCTTGTTTTTTCATACTAGTCGTCTATTAACATGGATTTAAACAAATTATTATACAATTTAAATACATTTTTTAAAATTTTACTTGATGAAATTCACAGCTGTATTAAAGTAAAAATATATCTAGCAAATTTGAACAAAGGTATACCATCTGGTTTACTGCAAAAAGTCATTAAGTGATATTTCATTACCTTAAGAACTTTTAAGAATTTTCCTTTACGCAATCGGAAAATTGTGAGATTTTTTTTAACTATATTTGATACAAAAAAAAAAAAAAAAAAGGAATTGTGTCATTTTCGAAAACATGCAGTGTTTTTGTATCGATAAATAAAGTCGAAATTCACAAAAATATTTGAAGGCTAACCTTTACAAAAAATGCACTTAGTGACTTTTCAAAATAAACCGACGATATTATGACAGAGCAGAGAAACTACCCATATTGGTAACACTTTTTTAAAATTTATTTTTATAAACTAATAACGTTTTTATTGAATGAATAATAATATATTCTATATAATACTATAAATACTATAACATATAATATAATATAACATATATATAATAAATACTATAACACGATAAATAATATTAGGTATCAGGGCTCTAGTATACAAGATAAAATACAAATTGAAAAATAAAATAATTACTTTATTCTGTACTTACCATTGACAGATGGATGGCCTGGGGCCAGCATGTAAAAATGAATCGTAGAGATACATAACAAACGATACTGCTTGTAACACTCGAACTGCTTCACTCTCTTTTTCTAAATCTTCAAAATTGAAACTGTGACAGGAACTGAATATATGTATATAGTTTTTTCGCTACAGACCTTGTAGATCTTTGACCGCTAGATGTGTTCTTCTATACCACATCCCGATTCGATTTAAGTACACGGCGGTAGGGTCGTCGGGCCTACAGCCGATCGGTGTGAGTTGCCTCCAGTAGGCTGAGGGGTTTCACAAACCCGGGGAGGGTCTCGGGCAGCGAGTCACCCAAATCGGGCGGTCCACCCATCCAAGTGCTAACCACGCTCGGCTTTGCATAACTTAGTTACCTATTGCAAGCGTCTTAGCCAGCACGGCTACCCCAGCCCATATATATACTTCCTTAAACTCATATGGACTCATCACAAATATACGATTTCGCTAAAAAGACCCACTTACGAAAATTTCAAAACTTCCAATCAAATTTTTTGCGACTCAATATAAAAGCACCTTGGTACGTGACTAACAAAACTCTATATACTGACATCCACCATCCAACAGTTTGCCTTTACCAAACTTTATTTTATATTAATTTAAACGGACTTACTGTTGTGAAAGTAAGTAATTTAAACCAGTCAGGGAAGAGGTGATGCTGAGTACTGTCCTTTCCCATTCATTTCTTACATGTCATTGATATCTTGTATTTCCAGCAATTTGCTAGTTGTAAACAAAAAGTTGAGAGGCACAAGTAATTTTTTATAGCCAAAACAAATAACAATAACAATGAAATAAATATAAAATAATAATTACAAAAATGTATTGAAGAATAATAAAAAGAAGAAACACTTCACCATACATTATTAAATATCTACATTTGGAAATAATGAGGCCACCTTCTTTTCAGAATCCCCAGAGGGTTATCTGATGATTAGAGAAAGCAAGGTTAGAAACGAAAGGGTTGGAATTATTCGGAAGTCTATTGTGAAAGGACAGGTGCCTGGATTGGATCAGATTGGAAACTATAAGAAATTTATACTAATTTTAAAGAAATCGAAAGATTGAAACGCTTTTTATTCATTATTTTAGTTTAACACGAAAATAAGGC